TTAACCTTACTGCTCCAAATTATATCTCTTCATTCAATTGCAACTTAACTAAAGTTGGTAACCATTAAAAACGCTTCTAATAGTTAGTAAACACACCTAAATACAATTTTTTTGAAATAAAAACACTTTTAAGTGGTAGGAAGCAATTCCAAACACGATTTGAATTCTCTTCAGGTTGATAAAATTTTTGTCCAGACTCCAATTCTTTTTCTTCTTCTTTTTTTTTTTTTTTTTTTTTTTTTTTTTTTTTTGTTAAGATAAAGAAATTAGATCATTAAATTAAATGTCCTTTCATCACTTAGTATAACAAAATTAAAAAATAAATTAATAAACACCTGCTATTTTTCTCCGAAATAAACACCTGCTATTGAATCGGTGCTACAATTGCGGGTACTTCCGAAATATCTAATATTGTCCGAAGGTGGAAGATTTTCAACACAAAGTCATGCGGTCGGTGGTGTCGGCTAAATAGCTTTTGAGAAACTTTGTAGTTCTAGAATGTTCTAGTTTAGGCTTTACCGATTATTTTTTTATATAAACCAACATCATTTCTAAATTAAATCTGTATTTAATCATATCATAATGAATTTATTAAATCAAGAGACACATTTGTTCAGCTTGTTAAGTTAAAAGCTTTAAACACAAATTGCCAGACATAAATAAATAGGTGGCTCAAGTTTATATAGACCTGTATTTTTTATGTAACTTTATGTTGTATTGTACTAGACCCCGTGTATGATAATATTTTGAGATTGTAATACAATTATTTTGATATATATTGCATTTTCAAAATCATTTAAATCAAAATAATAGTTTTGCTTGTTTTACAATTTTGATTTATTTATATCTCATTTTTAAGTAAGACTAAATGTTGATTATATTATTCTCACTCACATAAATACAGTTGAACAGATTATATTAGACTCTTTTTCATATAATTTTGTTACGATCTTGAAATAAATTGTTGGCTTTTATTATTTAAAAACAAAACAACCTGAGTCATTTGTTGATTAGGTCAAGATGGAGTCATGGTGACGTTATATTGGAATTCAATTTGTATCCACTACAAGTGATAAATGAGGCCGTATGCCCGTTAAGAACATTGAATACGACGACGTTGATGGATCGATCCGCAGTTAATGAACGAGTCGATGGGTGGTAAACTATCACCACTTCTACCAATGTCGGCGTCCACTGTCGGCTACTCTGCTACGACCAATTCAAATACAGCCAAAACTTACCTTTTTGAACAAAAGTCATTAAATGCCCTTGCATGGCCCTCACACTTGACTTTTTTAAAGTTTATTTTTAAAATAAAAAATATATATAAATGAATATAAATGTTGATCCATATTTATAATCGATTAATAGGACAAATATAGAGAAATATGGAATATAAAAATTTGCGCGACGTATCATTACTTTATTTATTTTTTTACATCTATATATATATGTATGTATAATTTGTTATAGTGAATTGTCAAATTTATTTATTTTAATTAATTTATGTAATAAATAAAAAAGTCAGAACTAGAAATATATAATTAGGTAATTCACTTCAATACATTAATGCAATTTAATCACTCAAATTTTTAAAAACTAAAAATATTATTAATGATTTAAAAAAAAAAAAAATCAAATCATGAGTTGTACTACTTAAGATTGACTTTGGCATTCATAGTTAGGTGGTTTCACATGGAAGTCCAAACCTTTTTAAGGGTCTAAAGAAGAATCGACGATGTATATAACTCACGAGGTTTGTCTAAAGTAGAAACCACGATGTATATGACTCACGAGGTTTGTCTAAAGAAGACCCGTCCTCTTCAATGCCACCTTTACACCTTTAATGCAGTGTTTTGATTGTGAAACTTAACTTTCTAATTTGATGATGATCACATCTACAAGAATTGGTCTTACCACATTCAATAAGTGGTTGATTGTTAAGCTTGCACTTGGTCTCTCTCTCTCTCTCTGTCTCTGTCTCTCTCTCTCGAATGCAACAACGAAGAAGAATAATCAAAGTTTAATTATTGTCGGTTAAATGCATCCTACATTTTAATTATTTGAATTGGGCTCAATCTCCCGAGTTTGAATCTTTTGTGGTACAATAAATGTCGTACGATTTCGTACAAACACATATATCGATAATATGAAGCGTTTGTTTTGTCGTAACAAGAATCGAATTCTCTCGTACATTCATTATGTATCGTTAGTATAATGCACTGTATTGTTGTTAACAACTACCTGACAAAATAAAACACTATATTAAAGTAAGATGTAACGTGATTATTGCATAAGCAACGTAAAAACACAGAAAAAAACACATGATGAAAAAAACAAAAAATCAACAACTTTCATGTATAGGATAAGTCAAGAGTACTAAAAGTAAAACTCGAGACGTCGTCATGGTTTGTGAAAGGTTCTTGCCAACTTGGGTTATTCATATAAGTTCATTGGCAAAACATTGCTTTGCTTAAAGCCCCAATAACTTTGAATTCAAGCCAAATTGGTAAAGTTACCAAACTTTCAAATCTTTTAAATGGTTTAAGAGAGACAAGTTGTGTGAACCTTGAAGATTTTTTAGGGTTAGTTATTCATGATTTTTTTTCAATCTTACATGGTTTAAGAGGGATAATTTGTTTTTTCAATCATGACGATTTTAGGGTTAGTTATTCACGATTTTTGCCTACATATTCTAGTGAAAATGTATGCATTATTGATTGAATTTTCCACCCGATTAGACATTTCCCCAAACCCTAATAAGGAATGGTATTAACATGAAAAAGGGTGCAGAAACTATTGATTTGAATATTCTTCACATTATTGGAATCCACTAAAAGAGTTTGTGGTTATTCATATTTTGAAATTTTAGCTATGAAGCATGTGGCTTGTCTTGAACGAGACTTCTATTCCATGATTCAAAGCAAAAATTTTATCTATTATATCAGAAAAATGCTTAAATTTTTGGGCTATAATCATAAAATCCTCTTTTTGTTTTCAAAAACTATTAACTAACCCTCTCAATTAAAAAAATTATCATATTACTTCTTGATATTTTAAAAAGTCTATCATATCACCCCATCTCCGTTAGTTTCCGGTCTAAAACTAACGAGATCGTATCACGTGAAAATCACGTGTAACAGTTACATCATTTTGCTAACCAAAACCTTATAATTTGTACTGACGAAATTGTCCTTCTCACACTATGATTTCTGTTTAATAAAATATTAATATACCATCAAGGGCATTATTGTCATTTCGCAACAACTTAACAATTCCGTCACAAAAAGATAGCAACGTAATAATTTTTGCTAGTTCAGGTGGTTATTTGATAATTGAAAGAGTTCTATGATATTTTTGGAAACAAAAGGAGGGTTTTATGATTTTAGCCCTAAATTTTATTCACCCCTTCTCCCACAAAAGGAGGGCATCGCGGTGAGGATAGAGAGAGTGCAGGATTTTGGAGGGAGAGAATGAAAAATGAAGGTTATTTTAATCCTTCAAATTTTAGTTTACAAAGTTATATTAGTAATTTATACTTTTTTATGTATTTGTTGACTAAGTCAAAAAATTACATGGTCATTTTTTCTAGTGTCAGAGGTCTAGAGGGGGTGTGTATGTAAACTTTTGAAACCTCAGGGAGTGTTAATGTAAACAAATATGTTGACTGTCCGCTAAGTGACATTGACCGAGAGTTAAGGAGGTGTGAGTGTAATTTACTCTTTTTATTTTATTTTATTTTATTTATTATTATTATTTTTTTAATGCGGTTGTGTGTGTGAAGTTGCTTTAATGAAAAAGGAGAGAATAAGCAAATTTCTCCTGCATAAGCAACTAATAAAGGCGAATCTAAACCACGAGTTATGGACGCGTGGCTCAGAGGTAAAACGGTTCAGAGTAGACTTTAAATGATAAAGAAGCTTTGACTCTTTCATAATAAATCTGAAAAGTTTTTCATCCTCAGAAGTACAAACATTAATGGGTCCACACGGACTCATATGTGAACCCAAAAAATATCTCTACTTGTAAGTAATTCTTGATGTCCTTCTAAATGGACTTTTTGATTATGCAAGCTGTGTTGGTGCTATTACAATAATACCCTTCTTTCAGTATTACCACTAAGAGAGTAGTAAAAGGACTAATTTGGTTTACGAGATTCAGTTAGTAGTAAAAGGACTTGTTACAATTGAATTGCACATTTTTACTTAGTAATGAATTGTTCATTCTTAATCACACGAGTTCAAATTAAATCTGTAAATTTGATTAGTTTATTCGCACGTATATGTTGATAGAGAAGACAATTGATATTTAAAAGTGATCCGTTGTAAAATGACGTTCATTAGTATTGTTGGGGATCCTGAAGGGGGCATTGGAGTTGGAAAGCACTAAGGTCTAAGGCATTGAAATTTGAGACTAGTAGAATACAGTATCGAAAACATTAGAACTTCTAGTACTTTTTCTTTTTAAGTGGATTGATTTGCCCTACACAGCTCGTTATTGTGATTTTTTTCTTCCTAAAGTTTTTCACCTCCTGTTGTCATCTCTTTATTCCTACTTCACTGTGTTTTTTATGGACTTGCTTAGCCTTTTGATTGTGTATTGCCCTGTTTGATTGCTCATTTGAATTATTAAAATTGAACGAAAACTTAAAATACCAAGCAAAAGAGAAAATTAGACCTATTTTTACTACGATGGGTCTTCACAAAATTGATCATGGGTATTTAAGAGTTCCAAAGTAGAAAATAACTAAAACTGTCACTTGAAATTTCAGAAAAACTTGGAAAACCCATTTATTTAAAATTTTATTCGATCTACTAGTTCTATTTTCTCGGGAATTTTTTTTACTGTATTGCTAACTTTAATATCTTACCCTAAACCCTTTGATTCACTTAAAGGGCGTTATAGTCATTACACAAAAATAAATAAACCACACCTTGTTTGAGTTGTGAACACAGAGCAGTTTAAGTCAACATAAATCCTTTACTCTGCAGCTATAAATACACACCAAAGAGGAGAACCAAACAAAGATGCAATAGTTTTTTTCAGATATCTTCTCTACACTTAACAGCTCTCTAATGCTTGTATCTCTTCTTTGCATAACTATTGACTTTCAAATTCCATTTCTCATCTTGTTCGGAATTATCAGCTCTTCTCTTTCTTTTTCAAATTACATCAACCTTAATCTTTGTTCTTGATCTATTTCCAGATTTTCTCTCAAAAACCTTTTCTTGTTGCTTCTCGACATTTTTGGATCACTTCCACTCCGTAGTATTTCCATTTTGAGAGGAAAAGGGACCATTTTTACCTCCCCTGTTTCCTCCTCTGTTTTCCCCTGCTTCCTTTTTTCCTGGAAAACTGAAACCCAATAGAAAATTTTACCCAAATATGTCCCAAATGCAAGAAAACAACATTCCATTAATCTCCTCCGACGGTACTGACATTGGATCATCCCTATCCAACATCATATTATACGGTGGCCCAAACACCATGGACTCAATCTTCTCTCACTGCTCACAATCAGCCCCTATCACCAACCCTGTTTTGGAGTCATTAGGCTCTTCTGTATATCTCCAACAAAGAGATTTACTCCAAAAATTATCCGTAAAAAACCGAGAAAATAGCTCAATTTCCTTAAATTCCCTAACCAACCCATTCCAAAACTCTGCATATACAAACACTTATTTGAGTCAATGCAAGAAAAAGCTGTACAGAGGAGTGAGACAGAGGCACTGGGGCAAATGGGTAGCAGAGATTAGACTCCCACAAAACAGAGTGAGAGTTTGGTTAGGTACATATGAGACTGCGGAAGCTGCAGCCTATGCTTATGATCGAGCAGCCTATAAGCTTCGAGGTGAATATGCACGCTTGAATTTCCCGAATCATCATGATGATCCGAGCAAGTTGGGATTCAGAGATTGTGGGAGATTGAATGCTGTGAAGAATGCTGTGGATGCAAAGATTCAAGCAATTTGTCAGAAGGTGAAGAGAGAGAAGAAAGCCAATAAGGGTGTTAAAAGAAGTGGGTGTTTTGGTGATAGCAATGGTAAGGAGTGTGAGAAGAAAGTGTTGAAGGTTGATTCATCTTCGTCGCCATTGTCATTTTCGTTGCCGTTTGTTGGTAATGGGAGTTCAAGTAACAATGCAACGCCTAGTGTTTCAGAAGATCGGTACTGGGATGGGGAGAACTCCTCTGTTTCTGGCGAGTGTCCGGTGGTAGCAGAGGAATTGGAATTCGGCAGCTGGTCGCTTGAACGTATGCCGTCATTCGATCCCGAGTTGATTTGGGATGTTCTTGCCAACTAGAAGAGTATTCATTTTCTAAATCTTGTGTCATTTAGAGTTTAGTGATACCATGTTATGTAGCAGTAAATGTATATGGTAGTTTATCTTGCAGTCTCGTGTATCGAAGGTCATCAGGTTAGAAGAATTTTTCGATATAAAAAAAAAAAAAAAAAATTTAGCAAGTTTAAGATGAGCTTTCAAAGTATGTTGTACTTGTGTTGTTTACTATAGTTTGTCTGAGAGTTTTAGTGGGTCATTGTTGTAAGATTAGGGGTAACTTAGATTGCTTTTGTCCTTTACTTTTGAAGGCATGAAGAAAGTTCATGTCATTGTTTTATTTTCCTACTACACACAGAGACAGTAGATGGGATTATGTGGGATTTTAGTAATGAATCTATATGTGTTTTTATGTAGTTATATTCGGGATTTGTATATAGTTCAAGAAAAACTATGAGTTTTAACTTAGATGGTATGATGTCTCGACTTTGAAAAAGGAGGTTGAGTGTTAACAATATTATGGGGGCGTGCACGGGCTTTAACTTCTGATAAAAGAAAGAATAAAACAAAGATAGTTCTAGAAAAAGAGGATTAATGATATTCAAAGTGATTTAGGTAGAGATTGCCAAAAAAATACTCAACGTGTATTGCTACAGATCACAAATTGCTCCATCTCATAGTACAGAAATATTTTATTTTTGTTGTCCCTTTCTTTGTAACATCACAAATTGCACCGTCACATTGTACATAAAACACTTTTCTTGTCTCTTTTTTTCAAAAAAATATTTATATCATACTCAAAAAAGAAAAACATCATACTCAATTATTCACGTCAGAATTTCCCTACTTAGTATAGTGATAAAAACTTCATACTAACAAGTGCAAGGATAGAACAATAATTTTCCAAAAAAAAATTAAAGGTTACGTTTACGTACCTTCAAGCTTTCTATCCCAACAGCTTATTAATGGCTTACCAGAATAATATTTTCCTGGAAAATTCAAGACAGAGAAATTGCCACATCTCTAAGCTTATCCATCCTTCATGATGATCCAGAAAGCAATGTGAGAGGAAACTGTGGTCCTCACTCAATCCAGATGTCACCGTATTTATATCTGTGAACAAGAGGTGGATTATAACCTCTTTAGCCTACCCATTCCATAAAAATGACAGAACATTGGTTTTCCATGAAACAACCAACCTTTTCATTTTGTGCAGTACAACTCACTTTCTTATCCTTCTGTGCAAATGAATTAGCTTCACACATTAATTGAGCAAATAAAAATTTACAAATGTATATTCGTGTTCGTAACCAACCCAATGTTATTAACATGGATTGCAGCAAACTAACAGATTAAAAAGATATGCATACTGCTGGAGAATGGTACATATAACAATTAATCAGTGACAATAGATGTTCATTGTGTTTGTTTCGGAAGAAAGATCACTGTTATGCTTTCATAGACCGTGATAATTTACTTATGTTATTCTCTACATTCCATAAAACACTATTTCACATCACAAAATGATACGAGTAAATGACTTGCCTCGCACAGTAAAATCCTAGAGAAGTAAACGCAGAACTCTGAAACCGGATAAGTCACTACCAGTTCAGTGAGTTCTTTGACTGCTGAAGTTTTGCATTATAAGAACTTTCTATCTCCTCCTGCAACAATCATGAATTATGTAGTTCAGTTCCATTATTTTTAGTCTTTTTTTTCCCCTCCCTAAAACACTATTTGTTTCAGTTGAAAACAGAATCCAGAAAACCAAGTGTATCAAAATGCAAAATATGTCGTGTATGAACACTATATGAAAGCAAGGTTTATAGGCAATCTCTGCATTGACATGAAAACTTGAATGAATGCAGTTAGTATTCTAATTGGAGATTGATGGAAATCTATTATCACCATCAACTTATTGGGCTGCAAAGACAATAGTAGGGGTCTTTTTCAAAACAATTGCAAGTTTTGCCTTTATTCAACACCAAAGTACAAAGTCGGTTCGGTGAAAAAGCAAGTTTTGCCAGTGAGGCTGGGCCCATGAATCACAAGATCAACATATGTAGAATAGCAGTCTAAAATTCAAATTGTCAGAAGCTGCACATGCCAAGATGGACTCAGTGACAAAGCAATTTGACATAGCAAAAGATATACCTTACAAGATTTTAGCAGAGGCTGCAAGAAAGATGATCATTATTATTTCATCATTTAAATTGGGAAAAGGGTCCACTGATGGCATCACAATGAAGTTTACATGCAGTAGATGGCATTCTCTGGCAGCATTACACAAAACAAATGCTCACCAACTTAATTACAATTATCTGTCAAACTGTCAGCTTTTGATACGTCATTATCTAAAGGGCAAACCTAGTGCACGAGGTTCCTGCCATTGCGGGGTTTGGGGAGTTTCAGATGTACGCAGCCTTACCTCCGCATGCGAAGAGGCTGATACGTCATTATCTCCCACTAATAAATTAGGAGTCAGCCTTTCCAGAAAGAGAGAACACACAAATAGAAAGAATAAATTAAATCCAAAAGGAACAGTAAGTCCTGCCCTCCAGTGAAAATATATAATATCAAGGATTTAGTCATAATGACCAAGATTATCAGAAATAGAAAAGGCAGGGAAAATATATAATATCCATGTTTTCTGCTAACATACCATTATCACCATGTGCTCTCAAAGGTCCCATGTTAAGTTCTCCCAAAAGCCGCATTTTTGACAAATTCGGAGAAATAAGTGACAGAAATTGCTCAAAACCAAATTATGATGCCATCATGTCTTCATTTAGAGATGAGTAGAAAGGTCTAGAGGAAACATTGTTGCAATCCAGCAAAATGCATAATATAGTCTATTAACAAGGCACGTAGTGAACCTTCAAATTCATTCAAGTATGTGATTAATTAAGGTTTGACAAATTGCAGGATGGCTTTGGGCTCCTGGCATGCAATCTAAATTAGAAAGTAGATGCATGAGGAAGCATGAGCTCTAATATGACTCATACGAGATTATTGTAGTAAATTAGTAATACCACATTGCATCATAATAACAACATATGTACTCTGCCAACCAGAATACACGCACACACAAAATAAACTCGTTGAAACAGAAATTATTGCAGATAAGCAGGCATAAATCATTTTAGAATACTGCCCCTCTAAACTCAAGGGGTTTATACCTTTATACGAAACTACAAAGAAGACATCAGTGTAGCAGTAGTCAAATGTCCATCAATGAGAACTAAAGAGATCAACAGGGACAAAACTGGAAATGATAAAGGAAGATGACAACAGATAAAATAGGTAGTACAGACTAGCCACAATGGGAAGTTAGGATTGAAATAATGAAAAATCAACCGGATTGTTTTGCAAGGACCAATAGTAAATTGAAAAAAATAAATAAATGGAGACTTCCGTAAAATTACTTTACAACAAGGGATGAGCTGAAAATTTGTGGATTGAACTAGGTGAAAAGGATTTTTATGTTAATGGAAAGTATAGTTTTTGAGAGAGAGAGAGAAAGATGGGGATGGATGCTTTTCAATACAAAATAAATCATTTAGAGCTCGGTTTTTCTAGTCCATTTTATTTTGGTAGTTCGACCGCGGAATTTCTTTGTTTCTATATTTCCGGAACAAAACCCACGTTCTACCAAACTGTACTAAGAGCGATTTTGTATCAGAATAGATAAGACAATAACCCAACACATTTTGTATGCAAATGTATCCCGAAAATGAAATATTATGGAAGATTGGATCCCACGTCACTATGGGTCTTCCCCCAAGTGATGACTCTTCAGATGGTAGGCACTACTATGCTGTTGCTGCATAAAAAAATTAAGATCAACTGACAGTTTAGGGAACAAGAATTCCCTTCAGTATATTTTATTGTCTTCCTTCTCTCATCTAAAGACACTCTCCTCACCCTCAATCCACTCAACTCCCTTCTCAACACAAGATATCAAGGAAACAACAGCCCAACAGATGCTGAAAAGATCCAGTAGCAATTTGCATCCTTGGCTTAGTTCTTTCCAATTTCATTTACAATGATGAGGGAACAACTAAATGAAAAAATGTTGAAAGGAGGATGAAGCGGGCATAAACTGAGTTAAAGTTCTCACTACATGACTAGCAGGCATTCTTGTCTATATATTAATTTATAATATTAAGTTGTGTCAAAAAAGACAAAAAAAGATCTTTGCCCGGTGTACACTGCATACCATCCACATTTTACCATAAGAAACTAAAACAAACTTAACCAGAATTACTAAGCCTTTCCGATGGTTAGCAACTGACAAGGTAAATGTTTCAGTTTGGTGCATGCTTACCTTAGAAAGTGTTGGTACAGTGGTAGGAACAAAATCCTCAGAGTGGTTTGGATAAATGGGAACACAAACACGACCTGGAGAAAAAGATTGAAAATCACTGATGAGAAACAAATTTTAATAGTGACACTAAAATGGATCCAGATAGCTCAAAAGAATGCCAGATGGCAAACAGCAAGGATTTCATGGTTTCGTAAAATAAAATGCAACTTCCAACTCTGCTTTTTATTAAAGATGAAAGTAGCAATATGGTGTTCAAATTCATAAACGTCAAACAGACAGTCATTGTTTTCCAATACCCTGGCATTCGTATTTCACAACTAACAAATATTCAAGGTACTAACCTGTCTTGGGGTGCACGTACACATAATGGTGCCTTCAGCAAATGGTTCATGTGTTTTGAGACCTGAGATGTAGTCAAACAACTTATATGTGAGGCAGTGCACATCATATATGTGCACAATAGATGACCTCAAGGAGCAGCAAATAGACTTAAAAAATGACATCCAAATTTGTTAGAAAGGAAGATGGGGGAGGGAAGTTCTACCTCCATATCAAGCCTAGGATAGGTATAAGAGAGCACAATTTCTTCAACACACCTACGAAGCCCCTTTGCCTGAAACATTGAATGGGATACAATATTAACTTTTATAAACTACAAGCACAGCATACAATGTCGTAAAATTGTTCCCTGCCAGTTTGAAAACAATGTTTACCCCAAGACCAAGGTATAAAAAATCGGCTGTTATGTAAAGGCTTGTAGGGGTCTGACTCAGTCACGCTCCAATTTATCGGAGGTATATTATGCTGAAACAATAACAAAAAATAAAAAACATGAGATCTGGCCAAACTAGACCTCATTTTATGCTTTCTTCAGCTTCTAATCCCCAAATTCATTTTAGAGCTGGACTTGAAAGATCGATGGGCTATTTTATTTTATTTTCTTAGTTTCGTGGGGCTATTTTTCAAATGTAAGTTGGTATGTCAGATCTGTCATCTGGAGTATTATCTATTCTTTTTGGGTGGGGTGGGGGATCTAATGTTTTTGGTATAGCATAAATATTTCATAAATATAGATAGAAATTTATATGGTAAG